TCTGAAGCTAGCGTTAGCTGGCTAACAGTAAATGTGTCAGTCCAGTGAGTGTGTGTCTGTGCTGCTGCTCCATGACCCGTGTGCTCCTGAAGAGAAGCTGCGTCCAGGAAAACACAGATTACATCATCACCCCATGACCTCACAGTGGTATCACCCTCAATGCCTCATTCATAACACAGACACACAACCCTGCACATAACCACAGAGGAATGCACCAACTGATCATGAAAAAAAAAAACCTGAACCAAGAGGGAAAAAAAAAAATCCTTCTTCTGGCTCATTTTTTACGTGCCTCTTCTCTCTAACACACACACACTTTCCTTTCCTCACTTTATGCCTCTCAATGTGTCCTCTTCCCCTCTCTCCTTGTATCCATCAATAATCACTCTAGCCAGCGTGGGTGAGGCGGAGGTTTCCATTTTAGGCATGCAGGCCTGAGCACACACACTTCCTCCCTCCCTCCCTCCCTCACACACACACGCACACACACTCACACACACACACACACACACACACAGTGATGACAGCAGATGCAGACAAATAACCGCTAAGTGCCCAACCCAAACACTAAAATAGAGCCTCTTACTCTAAACACTCTTACTCTAAAAACTAACAAAATGTCCCAAAGTGAGGACATTTGGTGTTCTGGCCTTTTGTTTGTCCATGTAACATATTCACATTTGTTTTCATTGCGTGTGGGGACTGACACTGATGTATTAATTTCCTGTACACCTAACCACAACTACTACTTGCCTAACCCAACCTTAAACCAAGTTGTCACCCTATAATTTAGCAATTTACATAGGACCAGCACCTGGTCTCCACAGGGAAGTCAGCGTCCCCACAGTGTGTGTGTCTAAATGGGTTACAGTCCCCACAGTGTGAGCAATGCCAGGTGCAATAACTTGGCAACATAATCCAGGGGCAACATTTCAATATAAGAGGCTGAACAAAGTTAATAACATTTGCACAGCTAGCGCTGAATAACGTTTTGTAAAGTGCTGCCATGTGTTGCTGTGCTGCTCGTTGTTAATGCCAGAGCTCGGTGTTGAGTTCCACCAACTTTGGGCTATCGGCGATCGGCTATGGCGTATTCACAAAATCCTCCAAACTCCTCTTTCAAAGCTTATTATCAAGTCATTAAAATGCAAACAAATTATTTCCTTGTGTGAAGATAAACAAACGAGACAACCTTTGTATGTGCGCGCAATCCTTGCGCTGCACTGTCACCTCCAGTTCTGCCTTTTTTTATTCAGTCGGGCTAACGGTGGCACGGAGGCACCAAATTCATTTTAGTGCTTGTGAATCATTTCAGATTTGCAGAAGCTATGAATCACAAATCTCATGTGAAATGATTTTTTTCACTGGCCTCTAGTGTGTGAGCACAAACACACGCAGAATAACAAAGCCTGATTGTTGCAAGTTTAGAGGTTGAGACCATCTACAACATAATTGAATGAGGTGCTTCCAATGTTTTGTTAATCTTATCCCTTTTACACACACACACACACACACACACACCTAAGCATGTGGAATAAAAGAGTAAAGTGCCATGTGTTTGTGAGCAGGGGCATTTAAAAGATGCCAGAGAAAGTCAGCGCAGATGGCCACAGAAGATTAAACACCATCTGCTAGTGAGCACTACAAAGATTTTATTACCTCTGAAAAATTACTTCCTTAATAGGTGAATCTGAAAAAGGTAAAACATAAAAAAAGTCTAAAACACTGCTTTTATTGAACAGGCAAAGCACTCCTGAAACAGCTGACAGTATTTTCAGTAGCACCTAATCTGTCTATTCTGGACTTTGTGATGTGAAACCGAACAAATCTGTAGGTCATCAAATTTCCATTCTCTTCTCCATTATTTTGTGGAAAACCTTAAAATACATATCGCATGAAACAACTTTATTTATTCTGGTGCAAATCCCTTCGCAAATAGAAACACATGCAACTTCACTGTTTCGAGACTAGAGAGAGCTGTAAAACCATAGTAAACATCCGCCTAAAAATCAAGAACCACCGCACAATGAAGATTAGGAAGGATAAAACTAGTGCACGTGTTTGCTCATGTGTGGAGGTTATAGTCAGTGGCCAGTGTCGGTCTCTCCCACAGTGAATAAATGACCTCATCCTGGGCCAAAACATGATACTTCGTCCGTCCTGCACGCGCACACACACACACAACACCTCACTCTCTAATGGCCCCAGCGAGAAAAGAGTTTACAGTGTTATGAACATCACTGCTCTCTGAAGGACTGACTAACATCTGCTGCATCTCAGCTCTGTGTGTGTGTGTGTGTGTGTGTGTGTGCGGTACTGACTCAACAACGAGCAGTGTAGTCAGCATGTGATGTGAACGTGTTGCCTTCTTGCAGTCGCATCCAAACTAGTGATGATGAGTGTGTGTTATCGACTCAACAATGAGCAGCAGACTTTAAAGTGACTGCACTGATGTAGGTGTTAACTATTTAAATGGGCATTAACTCAAGATTTCCCCCAGCATCTGATAACCCCAGTGACAGTGGGATAGGACGTGGTGTCTCTCAGCTACCCTACCCTAGCTACAGCCCTACCCTAAACCAGATTGTAACCTGAACATTAAAGCAGAGTCTTGACCCTAAGACAGCTATCTGAAGTGGTGAGGACTGGTCGAAATGTCCTCACAGTGATGACATCTAATTAAAATGTATCCACGTGAACACAGAAAGCTTCACACTCAGTTAAGCCAGTGGAACAATCTAACTCACTCATTAACAGCTTTGTAATATATTCATCCTCACACACACACTCATACCACTATCACACCTACTTCTGAGGTTTCAGTGTGTGTGTGTGTGTGTGTGTGTGTGTGTGTGTGTGTGTGTGTGTGTGTGTGTGTGTGTGTGCACGCTGCAGACTGAGGTAATGGGTGCTCGGCTCTTCTTAGACAGTCGATCCATAAGCCATCTCCACTGCATTTAAAAATCAATACATGCAGCTGCCCTGCTGCAGACTGTCGAGTCAGTAGCACACAAACACATGATATGCAGCTAGGAAGACCCTCAATGCCAGATTCCAGTTTATTCAAGGGGAGACATCCGGCTGTTAGCTCTGGGTTGCCAGACACTGTACACCGGTGAATGGTGACGTTGTGGCTTTTAATCCCATTAAAGTAAAACAATAGTTTCAACTTCTCTCTCAAAGGCTGCACATATCCCAGAGCTGTGTGTAGTCCAGTGACAGGGGTGCTGCCTTCTCAAACTGAGATTATCGTTTTTGTAAGAGTTGATTCTTATAAGCTCTAGTTACTTTTCATAACTTTATTTCCCTTGTCTATACATATTACAGCTGTATTGATGATTGTCCAGAACTACTGAGCTTTGGTTATTTTAATACATTTATTTTCCTTGCTTATATATCTTACAATTGTAATGAAGCAGAATCTGCTTACTTT